TCGCATGGCTTGTCGATGCTGTCCTCCTCCGACCTGTGGCCGGCTGCCAAATTGCTTTTTGCCGCGTGAAGCTGGTCGATGATTGATAGTTTATGCGATGTTGTCTGTGTATTGCAGCCACGGGAAGTGGGATGGGAACTGGGAACATGGTGGCATGGGGTGGCGAACAGCTCTGCTTGTTTGAATTGTTATCGATGTTTAGCGCCATGCAAGGGAAGTTTCTTTGGGTGGGGTCAATGGGATGCTTTGCGATCTCTATGACGTGAAAGTCTTGCCTGGTGATGTGTTCTTGTTGGGTTGATCTTGTTTTATTGCTACACTGCGCTAATTTTATGGTATGTTGGAATGGTCTATTTATTTTCTCCATTCCGTACTGTTCTTTTAGCGTGGCTGGCGTATTCAGCTGGTACAGAACCTCTTTCTTATTTTCCGTATCCGTAGTTAGTTCTGTTTTCTCCGTCGCGTCGTGTGTAGTTTCTTCAGCGTGTGCCAGGTGCCTGTGTTTTTCTCTGCTGACTGGGCCTGTGTTTCAGTTGGCTCTGCGTAAGCCCGCCTTCCGTAGTAGTTCGTTCGGTGTCTGCCCTCTCTCTATCAGTATCTGACGCACGGTTAGACGGCCTGACCGACGCTGTGCTCTCTATGCTGTCTGTTTCAGCGGGTCATTTCATGAATGCTGCGCCGTTCTTAGGTCAGTTACCTCGGGTTTTAGTGCATGTGAGGTGGAGGCATGTCAGGACGCGGTACTTGGTCCCTCGCGATTTTGCATGCTGGGCCTCGTTTCATAAAGCGAGTCCGTAACTTACGCCGGTTTTTGGTCTTGTATTGCAAGTGCATGTGAAGCGATACATTTATTTACCCTTCTCCCTTCTGTTCTTGCTTGCAAGATAAATAAATTCAACGATTCAAACTAACGACATCGCTTCACATGCACTTGCAATACAAGACCAAACACCGGCGTAAGTTACGGACTCGCTTTATGAAACGAGGCCCTGGATTCACTCTTTTACTTTAATCTTGATATACGGAGCATTATAATCGAACAGCGTTCGTTTCGTCCTCCGATTCCCAGGCCAGGGATTATTGCATCACGTGTTGCGATGCCAGTGAACAAATATCCTTTATTTATTTGCCTTGTATCTTCGTTCTATTTAAAAAGTACATTTTCATCTTCATCGTCATTCATATTTCCTATCCACCCTGCACCACCATGTCTTCACAATGACGCCGCATCCTCCCTCACCGCCATGCTACTTAAGAATGCCCCGCTAACCAAACTGACCTCTCACCCTGTCCGCCCTCTGACCTGACCTGACCACTGCAGCGCCCGGCGGCGGTCCGGCCGGTATGGCCCCCCACCTGCCGGCCAACGGGTTCGCCATGGGCGGGGGCGGCGGGCCGGCTCGGTTCCCGGGCCCGGGCGGCCAGCCGGCGCCGGCGGCGGTGCCCTGGAGCGGCGCCGACAGAGGATCGTCGGGCTCGACACTCACCTACACACAGAACATGGCGCCCGACAGGACTACGCCGTACACCTGTGAGTTCCGGGGCGATCGGGCACTCACACAGTAATATCGTGTGTTAATGGGGTGACAGGACCACGCCGCACACATGTGAGTTCTGGGATGACCTGTGCTTTCGTATGACAGTGTTTGTTGAAGTTTTCGGGAGGTCACGAAATAGCAAAGACGTGAGAGGTCGTCGTTCCTTTTCGATGCTTATGAGGGACATATTGAGGCTTGGCGACTCTACTGATGCTGTCTTCTGGAACAAAGTTCAACACATCTGTTCGTGATCCATTCACTCAACGCTCTCATCCTGTTTGTCAAAGTAATGCCACAGCCGGTCGTTGTAGTTACTTCGTGTAGCCCCTGTAGCTGCTCCCGATATTCCGTGCTCCTGACGCTCTGCGTGCCCTTGTGCTTCAGTCGCCGGCGCCAACTCTCACGTACAGCAGCAGGACACCCAGGTGCTTCTGTCCAGTGTGCCGCCACCAGAGTTCTGGTGTAACATCTCGTACTTCGAACTGGACACGCAGGTAAGGAACTGGTCGGCGACGGAAAAAGATATGGGGGAGGGGAGTTAAAGTGAAAGTACACAGTCTGCCATCTTGGCCTGATATTGGCTGAGCATTTGCTCGAAGGCATTGTCAGTGTTCATGTCACATTTTTCAATCCATCTTCATCAATATCTCGACGTCAGTACATCTACGCCAAGTTGACCGGTTCCCTGTCTGCTCATACCGTCATCCCCATCACCCATGGCGTCCCCGTCACGCACCACTTTCTCTTTCAGGTTGGCGAGGCGTTCAAGGTGCCCTCCTCCATGTCTTCCGTCACCGTGGACGGATACGTGGACCCGTCTGGAGAGAGCCGCTTCTGTCTGGGCGCCCTCAGCAACGTGCACCGAACCGAGCAGAGCGAACGGGCCAGGTGAGAGGGCCGGGTGGTGCGAAGTGCGAACATGAGGTGGTCTTAGAGCCCAGCGTAGGCTGAAGGAATGGAAGAGAACAGTTTTTGGAGTCTTTTGATGCTATCTGACGACAAAGTAGGTTCCGTCCGTTATTGTCAGTAATTTTGTTTAAGCATGCCGGAGTATGTTCATAGCGCTCTGTAATTTTGTAATCATATGTTATGATTGACGGGGTGTTCGCTCTGTTCAGTGTATGTGCTTATGTTGTAGCTACTATTTAGTATCACAGAAAAATCCATGGATCATTGTGCCAAGCTATATGCAGGGGTATCCCCAGGTTGTTCTGAGCAGCCTTATCAGCTCTGAATCACCAACGGTCCCATCAACCATCCTCCCCTGGCCCTGCTGCCCCTTTACCTCTGACACTCTCGCCCCATTTCTTTACAGGCTGCACATCGGCAAGGGCGTGCAGCTGGACGTGCAGGGCGAGGGCGACGTATGGCTGCGCTGTCTGAGCGACCACGCCGTGTTCGTGCAGAGCTACTACCTGGACCGGGAGGCGGGCCGCGCGCCCGGCGACGCCGTCCACAAAATCTACCCGGCCGCCTACATCAAGGTGTTCGACCTGCACCAGTGCCACCGGCAGATGCAGCAACAGGTGCGGGAAACAGCCGGCTGGGGAGGTGTGGAAAAAGGCGAGAATTGAATGTTAAAGACTCATGGGGAGGTTAGGAGATGTAGGAGTAGGATAAGAGTAGTAAATGGGTGATGACTGATAAGTCATGAAGAGTGGGATACTAGCCCACACATTCGATGACACTTTCACTTCGTCACACTCCCTTTTTCCATCTGTAGCTTATATGTATTGGCTCCTTATTTGTCTTGTCTTCTTGTCTCCTTATTTCCATCAACTGGTAAGCATTGGCGCCGATGATCGCTGCAGTCCTTGTCCCCCAAAACTATCATCAGTCCTCACTTCATTACCCTTAGTCCGGCCTCCAGCCCGCCCGCTTTGCCTCACGGTGTACGTTCTTCCTTTTGTCAGGCGTCCCAGGCGACGGCGGCGGCGGCGGCGCAGGCGGCGGCCGTGGCCGGCCACATCCCGGGCGCGGCCAGCGTCGGCGGCATCGCCCCGGCCGTCAACATGGCGCCCGTCGCTGGTATCGGCGTGGACGACCTGCGGCGGCTCTGCATCCTCCGCCTGAGCTTCGTCAAGGGCTGGGGTCCCGACTACCGGCGCCAGAGCATCAAGGAGACGCCCTGCTGGGTGGAGGTGAACCTGCACCGGGCGCTGCAGCTGCTGGATGGTGTGCTACAGACCAGTCGCGTCGGACAGGCGCGGTCGTGAGCAGGGCGTCAGGAGAGCGCTGCTTAGCGGCGCGGCGTAATGCGATCGCGGCGTTTGTGAGCGACGATGGTGTCGAGTGGTGCCAGGAGCTCTCTGGACGCCGGTCGGACGGTCCACAGTGGTGCTGTGTGGTGGCGAGTCCCGGTGCTCACACTGGTAATCTGCCAGTCTGGTGTGCTGCAAGGACGCACGCTGGGGCCGACGCTGTTGGTGCTACGTGCTGTGTGGAGGCGTGACATGGCCTTCCGGGACCATGGTCGTTTGCGTGCCTTGGATGGAGATCTTGCGGCTCAGGCGGGAAAGGAGAGACTTGACACCTCAAACACACCAGGAGCTGCCATTTGGGAGCCTGGAGTCTCAGATTCCCGCCCCGCCCGAGACCAAGCTGCAGAACAATGAATGGAATATGGCAAAAGGTGGCAAGCGGTGATGAGTACAGAATCTTCAACGAATCATGTATATTGTATAATGAGGCAATGAGCTGTCGGTAACTCAGTGGAGAGGATTAATGGTCGAGTAGATAAATCATGGCGTACGTAGATATTAGGAGACAAGACGAGTGTTGTACACGGATGTGCAGCGCAGACACGTTTTACAGGTCGCCTCACGACACTAAGCTGGTCGCTGATGAGCATGAACTGGCGACCGATGGCTTGTTTTGTATGTTGACTTGTGTATGCCACTCGCAGCTTTATTGCAACATTGACGCGATTTCGTCTAACTCTAAGCAGAGAGGATTCCTTTCTCCTTGGTGCGGCTCACTGCATGACTACCGAGCTTTGACTCGTGTCCCCACGGCGTCATGGACATGGGCGGAGGTGGATCCTTACGGGCGGTGGCTGCGATGCCGGTCCCTGTGTTAGCCAGTGGCGACAGGGAGCTGCCGCTGTCAGTCCGAAACTCTGCTTGCGAGTTGTGACAGTCTCCAAGCCCCTCTCACTCAGACAATCGACCGGCGAGCGCGGCTTTGTACATGCGTTAAAATATATGAGGCGTCGCCGTTTAGAGGAGCTCTCAGCTGGTGAACATTACAAATGTGGATTCAAGGTGTTGCAGTGGTAGCATGGAAACATATTCAACAGGGCGCCGGAAAGAAGCAAACCTATGGCTGCCGGGATTGGCGTAGTGCGATACCTATTGAGTTGAACGGTTGCCGAGTGCGGGTATGGAACTGTTCAGTTCAGCAATTGCCTAAACTCTCATAAGATATTGCTTATGAAACATAGCCGTTGTAAAACAAGACGGGTCACATTAGTAAGTACGTTTATTGTTAGTTCAGAAAAGTACACGCTTAAAGCTCAGACATAATGAATTAATGGTGCATACAAACTGAAATAGGGCGCGATCCACAACTGAAAGGGAAGCAACTGACTCAAGCCACAAATAGCTTTATCAGCAAGGTTTATGAACTTCGTGTTCCGGGATGAGTTTGGGACTGATATCGTCAAGTCGCATCGCAATATGAAGCAAGGTTACATCGCTAACACCAGCAGAAGACAACCTATGCTAATTCATGTGTTCAGGGCCCAAACATCACCTCTGCATTCAGCCATATACGAACTACGAGGACAATGACCGCATTATCTCGCCTAAATCTAGCTGGAGATAAGGCACTTGCTTTGACTAAGTACTAAGTAGGGCACCACACACAAAACATCTCTACCAGCACCCACTGGATGCATTCCAATCAGCTGAGTCACAACGTTAGCCACATGACCCATAAGAATCATGCCATCGGTATCTGAACGTCTATACGGACGGGCGTTCAAATAAACGGAGTGGCATTACCTACAGGCGTCGATAGCCAAGTACTACTGATTGACGAGTGGTATATGTTGATGCTAATCATTAACGAATATCTGCCATACCACAACACAACGAAGTGATACGTTCGTACATACTACATCAACATAATACTTCACTGCACGGGGAAAGATGCCACGATTATGATGGATTCGCTTCCTGTCTAGTTTAATCGAATTCGAGACCCACTTCATGGTACAACAAAGATCATGTTACTTTCAGACAACTCCCTTTGGAAATTTCACCGCATTAATAATAAAGGAAGGCAATGAGCATCGGCAGTCGATACTATTGCTAAATCATCATCGAGAGAACTTAGATTCTCTCATTACTGCACAATGCAATTCGCCAAGCTCTTTTCCTCGAAATAGTGCCACTGAAGTGTCCAAGAAATGTTCATTGTAAAAAAGCACAAAAATAGACAACACATCTCTAAGTTCTCACCCACACCATACAGTGTTCAGTCATTTTTTCAGACACATCTCAGCTATCCTTTGGGTCTCCCAACTGGGGCAGGAAATACTCTCTCACCCTTGCACTCATTGCCACCAGCTCAGGGTCCTGTGTTTCCAAGTTCTTCAGCATCTGCATGAAGGCTACACTTGCTGAAACATGCCACACCAATGTAAACTGAGCCATGCTGCTCAAAAAGTATAGTAACTGTCATCAGCTTTGTCGAAAAAGAAAGATTAAGGGTTTGGCTTAGAGCTATAAAAATACCGAATGAACTGAGTGCTTTGATGTTTCCACCTATATATAACTTATTGTTTCTGCAATCAACAGCAAGACCTGTTGATATACCTATGCACTAAAAGACAGCTTACACTCATGCAATTGAAATAGGCAAAAACATTAGATCAAAAGCTGACATATCGTTAAAATTGAACAATTGCACAGCACAGGAGCGAGCATACATACCTCGTTCACCATAAAATCCATGTTTTTCAATGACCTCTGCCTGCACCTGAGCTACCAGTGGAAAAACGAGCTGCATGTATTTGACCATGTCATTGCCAGCCTGATCTCGTGCTCCAGATATCTTCTCGTTTATCTCATCTGACTGCAGTGTCTGCAGCAAGTCTTGCAAGATATCTGTAAAAACATGCTCCTTGTCACAATATACCAATGCAGAAGTTTTTTAGGCCAATATCCAACCAGTTCAAGAAAGAAAAATCAACAATTAACTTACTTACCTAGTCAAAGCACTGAACCTTTTGAACGGCCAATACAGTCACCGTGGATAAGGATGACAAGGGACTGCTGACCAAGCTGTGTACTTCATAGTATAACCAGGTTACTCTAAGATGACAAGCAACTTTCACTCATTCTATCACCTTATCAAAGAATAAAAGACAACATTAAAAAACTAGGTGAACAAACATTGAACACAAGTCGCAACCCACCTTTTGCTTTAGCCTGGCTTACAGTGAGATTTTCAGTGGCTGCCATCACAAAATCTTTATTTGGATGGGATATCATGCACCGTGCGAATGCAAAGTCAAAGGTGCACGCTCACACGCATGTATCAATATAGATCAAAATGATCAAACTTAATCATCATAATTAAAATCATCAAAGTGCTTATCTCGACGGAGGGGGAGAATCGCTATTCATAGGGCCTTGCGCTATTCGTCACCTTTGCGCAGTTTTTGGAAGCAGCCCGAAAAACTGTTACTCATTTCAGAAAATTGAAGCATTCAAAACATGTATTTACCATCAAATTTTTATGATGCAACTTAAAATGCTTCAAATATATATTTTAGAATTAATGAAGGACATATATTAAAGATTTTAGCCAGAAAAGAGCACAAAAATATGCATCCTTCTCGAATTATTTCACCTTGAAATGCAACAGCTGAGCAAGGTTTTCATGCCAGCTCCGTCCCAACTTGCCTTGTTGTGGTATACCTAGTTTGGCATGTGAAACGTGTGGGGTTTGTGTGTACAATATTTGAAATTTGTGGCTGTTGTCGCCGAGCTGGCTTCAGAGTGTGCTTGATAGTTCTCGTGGATTTCGACTGTTTTATATTTTAGCAATATAATCCATCACGCCATGAGCAGCAAAAGACCAGGTATGTTGCTTCATTATCATTATTTTGTGGCAATTGCCTGTGTCAGTGTGCCTGCCTGCTGATAGTGATAGCCCTACCCTGAGGGCTGAGGCTGAATCAGAATCAAATGCCAATAGTCCCCACTGTCACTTTGGATTAATTTCATGATGTACAATATTCTTATCACTTTCAGATTATTGTGTTACTTATTGATAATGGTGACTCACGCAAAGTTAATCTTCTATTCAAATGCCAAGGCTATAACAGATAACCACTCATCCATTGTTGCCGGGCTAGATTGGTACCACTGTGCCTACCAGTATTTTGATTGCAGTCGCTATTTTTTGTAACTTCAATACAGATGCTTAAGTGGGGCAATGTCTGCTTTGGACTTCAACTTTACAACTTTATGAAATAAAGCATTGTATCCAGCTTTTATATTGTAATCAATTATGTTTTAGGAAAGGCTAAGCCACAGCCAATTATAGTTTTGCTCGCCTCAAAACAAAGACACCCGTAGGGGATCTTCGCTCTGCCTCAGGGGGATTGGCCACATCAAACGAGGACAAAGCAGATGTTCTCAACTCCTTTTTTGGAAGTGTATTCACTCGAGAAACTCTCGACGATATGCCAACCTTGCCAACTAGAGAGCGGATTCCAGAGCTAGCGGACATTACCATCACTGCCTCGGTTGTAGAACGCAAACTGTCGGCATTAAACCCATGCAGTTCTCCCGGGCCCGATGGCATTCATCCGCGTGTCCTACACGAAGCCCGTCAGGCTCTATGTAGACCACTTTCCTTGCTCTACCGTCGCTCAATTGATGCGGGCACGGTACCTGACGAGTGGAAGCTAGGAAGGGTGACACCCATTTTCAAAAAGGGAGACAAATCTGATCCGAGTAATTACCGTCCAGTTAGCCTCACCGCCGTGACGTGCAAAGTTCTCGAATCCATCATACGTGACAGAATTCTGCAGCACTTGACAGAGGCTGACCTCCTCTCTGACGACCAACATGGATTCCGGCCGAGGCGTTCATGCAGCACCCAACTGTTGGAGGCCCTGGAACACTGGAGCAAATCGTTTGAGGATCAGACTCCAATAGACGTGCTTTACTTAGACTTTTGCAAAGCCTTCGACTCTGTCCCTCACCAGCGCTTGCTCCACAAACTTAGAGCCTACGGCGTGACTGGCAAACTGCTGGCATGGATAGAGTCTTTTCTCGGCGGCAGGAAACAACAAGTAGTTGTCCAGGGATGCTCCTCAGAATGGACGGCCGTCCATAGTGGCGTCCCACAGGGATCTGTCTTGGGCCCATTACTCTTTCTCGTTTACGTCAACGACTTACCAGATGCTGTTCAGGGCCTCATCAAAATGTTCGCGGACGACACCAAAGTATACTCGTCGATCTCCTCGCCTCGTGACACCTCACAGCTCCAAGCGGACCTGGACGCTTTAGTCAAATGGTCCGACACTTGGCAGCTCCCATTTAATGAGAGGAAATGCAAGGTTTTGCACATGGGGCGCGCGAACGAGGACCATCAATACACGATCAGGGGAAATCCAATGTGCGACACTTCGCTAGAGCGTGACTTAGGGATCCACATTTACTCGGAGCTGAAGTTCCGCCAACATGCGTCAGTGGTCGTTTCCAAAGCCACTCAGGTGCTTTCTGTCATTCGTCGCTCCTTCGCCCTGCTAGACTGCTTCACGCTTCCACTTTTATATAAGGCGTTAGTTCGCCCACACCTCGAATTCGGCAACCATGTTTGGGGTCCGTTCAACCGCGCGGACCAGAAACTGCTGGAAAGGGTACAGCGAAGGGCAACACGTATGGTATCCAGCATCAGACACTTACACTACGAAGAACGCCTGCGGAAGCTACGTCTACCATCACTTTACTATAGGCGCAAGCGAGGTGACATGATTTTTCTGTACCAATTGTTCAACGGTGGAGTGGACATCAATCCAGACAACTTCTTCACGCGAGTCACAAGCAGTTCCACGCGAGGCCACCCATTCAAGGTCCTGAAGCCCAGAGCGACCTGCAAAGCAAGGAGGTCGGCCATCTCTGTTCGCGCTGTGAATGACTGGAACTCGCTGCCTGCCGAAGTCGTATGCTCGGCATCGCTGAACACCTTCAAAGCGAGTCTGGATGCCCACTGGGTCCACCTCTGGTACCAAACACCAGACAGCTAAGCTGTCAAACCATGGAGCTCGATGAGAGCGGGGCCTACAGGCCATTTGGCCTTACCGTAAACCCGACAACCGTAAGGTAAGGTAAGGTAAGGTTTTTTGCCATGATAACTGTAACTTAATTTAATAGTAAATATTAAATGAATATCAAACATTGACATTTGTTTCATCTTCATTAAGACCAAATACTTACAATTTTCATACATATTTTCATACAATTTTCACTTTGACATGTGTGGCTGCAAAAATGATCTGATGACATTTAGGAAGAGCAAGTCCATTTTTGCAGCCTAAATGCATGAAAGGCATGTCAGTTTTTAGTTTAACCATCACTGGCATCAACTGAATGCAAATTATGTAGAAACTACCATTTTGAATTTGGGGAATTTAATCAATTCAGTCATGCTACATAGCTTTATAAGTTAATAGCCAATGTCAGATGGATCATTTACCTAAAAACCCTGCCTGAGCATTGCACAAAATATCTCAGCTGCTATTTGCCATGCTTCAGTATTTGTAGATATGTATATAGGACGTTTATATTGAAGGTTTTGTACAGCATTTACAATTTACATAAGTATGTACTGTTAATAGGTCATTTTTGCTTGAGTTGCGAATAAACAAATTGGCATGTTGTCACCACCAGGTAATTATCGTAATTTATGGTGAACAGCGATATGTTCAGTCTCTGTGTGTTTGGCATGCGCCGTGTTTACGTTACTGGCACTGCGTTATCGTTCGTGCGTTCCGCTTTTGTGCTGCCCCGAACGGCAGGCCTGCCGTATCGCCTGGCTTATGCGGCCGTTTCCGTTGCTTTCAGAGCATGGCATGTCCAACGGCGCGATGGCGAGGCTAGGTAAGTAAAGACCGGTGCATGTCTTCTCTCTGGGCTCGCAGCACCACCTGGGGTAGTGCATCGCTGCCGCGAATCGCCTGTTTGTTGAGCTTGGCACGTTTTCTGTCTGCTGCGTTAATGTCTGTGTTCGTTATGCAGCGACGGGTGTAATATGGGCCCTGAGATGGGTGTTAATGTCTGATGGCTGCTTTGACTGTGCGCTCATGTGTTACTTTCTAAACGCATCCGTGTTCCACTGTGGTAGGTAAGGCTGGTTTAGTTCTCTGAACACACCCGTTTACGATGACATGGCTCAGCATGTCGTTCTTCGCTTTGGATCACTGCAAAAATGCAATGTTTATCCCCTTCAAAGGTATTTCCCACGGATTTCGCAGCCGCTTTTTATGGTCCTGCCTCTTTTACTAAGTCGGACTTACGACTATAACATAGATCCGTTTTTATTTATTGTATTACCCGATACATCGTACACAACTATACCTACGCTCCCCTAAAACTTCTTCGATCACTGGTAGGACTTGTCAGCAGCACATTTTCGGTCCTGCCCAGCACCTCACAGACTGGGCGTTGTCTCGTCCCCCTCTCCGCCCCTCCCCGGCCCCAGTCGGTCCTGGTGACCTGCAGTGGCCATTGGGGCCACACGGGAGCAGATGGGCACCATTGATCGGCCGGCAGGGCTGGCTGGCCAGTGACGGGGTAAAGGGGCAATTCATGGATGGCAGCTGCGTGGTGTGTGCTGACTGGCACACGGTCCACGAGGACCGGCAAAGTGAGAATTACTCGGTGATTCGTCTCATTTTGGACTTTAGGTCGAAGAGCTTAAAATTTTAAGTGATTTCACTATTGCTTTCGCCCTTTTAAATACTCACATATTGGTGTAACTATAAATGTACGTGAGCGATGATCTAAACTGCGGAACAAAACGATCCAAACTTTTTATTCAACAATGATTCATATGTGTACATAATACAGGTATCTACTTCATGTAGATAACTATCAAACGAATCTGAGCCTCTGGCTGGCCGGCCGCTAATCCAAAAGCGGTCAGTATTTATCAGCCCCCGTTCACGAGCTTCAGAATTCCTTTACCGTGACGTCATCACGGCGCATGAATTTTCCTTCACCCATAGAAATGCATGCAAAGCATGGTGTGTTTCAGGCGGGCTAAGGAGAAATGTAAGGCCTACATGTGTTCAAAAGACGTACCACTAAGCCAATGGATTCGTCTCATTACGATAAATGGGGTTGAAATCGAAACATTCGGCCTATATTTATCTAAAATGGGCCAATCAAATGGTCCCTGCAACTCATAATGAAGGATTTCCTCTGCGTTGAAAAATTTGTTTCAAGTGTTTTTTCATCAGCGACAGGGGAAATCCTTCATAATTGCTACCAGATTACTACCATATTCCCTCGCATTTATGTTGCGCATTGCCTCACAAATCAGAGTTTTGTGAAGTTTATATTGATTTAATTGTCATATTTTGACTGATTTTGGCGAT